GGAGTCGTGCGTCGACCCTGGCCATCTTGCAGCTGCATTAAGAATTGCCATTCGAGCATTGCAAATAAGCTCTACATTAATTGAATGGAAATTTTTCCTATTAACATACACATATTCATGTGCATGAGGTGCTCGTATGGCAACGTGAGTGCAATCTACTGCACCTAGGACATTGGGGAATCCTGTTTGGCACACAAAATCATCCATAACATGCTGCTGCTCCTCGGCAGTGTATGGGAACTTTATGTACCGAGTGGACAATCGGATGATGCCTTGAAGCACAGCTGGCATAAGTCTACTCACAGATGGCTGGGATATTCCTGATCGGTCACCAATCTCTCTTTGAAATGTTCCCGTGGCCAGGAACCCAAGCACGGAGAGCACCTGTACCTCGACAGGTATGGCCTGGTTGGAGTTGGTGCGTCTCTGTATATTAGGGCCTATCTGGGCACAAAGATGTAACAGTGCAGCTCTTGGCAAACGGTACCTGCTTATCAACCATTCGTCGCCATACGCAAAGAAATCTGCCCGATCTCTAAAAACGCGTTGTCTTCTCATTGCACGGTTTGCAATATCTTCAAGAAGCGCTAATGCTGCCATTCTGCCTCTTGCAAACTACTTCATCGTAGGCCATTTTATAGGCCATAGATGCACAGAAATTATTAACATGCGTGGACCCAAATTATTTAATAATGTGTAATTATTCTGTGGACAAAACAATGTGTGTGTGGTTATATTTTTTCTATTGACTATTATCAAAAGTACTATTCTAGAAACAACATAAATAATAATAATAATAATCATAATAATAATAATAGTAGTAGTAGTAATTATAAAAAATTTGGTTTCCAAAAGTGAGAATAAACTACGAATTCAAGTAAAATTCAGTCATCTTATAAAAAGTGAGCCATCCTACTTTTAAAATCATTTGCTATGACAACTAATAAAAAGTTTAGTATCACGAAATTCTTGCAAAACTTTAAAAGACATTATTGAAAAAAAAATTTGAATGTTTCATATCATAAAATAAATGATTACACAATTATGGTCTCCGGTCTGAAAAAACCTGCATGTGATTTGGCATTTATTTATATTTACACAGTTTACTAATGCTGCTCAAATGTGCCATTAATGTACTGACACAAAAATATATAGTGTATTTTATACAAATATAACTGATGTAAATGACAAAAACAAAGTTTAAGGCTGATGTCTCTATTCATTTTCACAGAAGCAAAGCAGCGGATATGAATAAAAGCAGTTAACAATGTTATTGAATAGAATATATTAAAACCGTTATTGCACGACATAGGCCTATTCTTATAGGCTACACAGACAAAACAGTCGGAGATGCGTTTATGCAGTTTTTTTTTTCTATTTTACGCATTAGTAGTAAATCAAGACTTCGCAAGTTCTCTTGTAAAATAAAATAATATAAAAACAGCATGGAATAAACTGTGTACAGAAAGCGAGTATAGACTATAAAGAACTCTCAACATTAGGCTACTAAAAAGGTCAGTTTAATATAGCAAAAACGCCCGTTAATAAAAAATCTGACTACACTGCACAATTGATCTCTTACACTGTATGAACGTTGCCGTGGATTTTAGCGTACGCACACTCTAAGATCAAATCTGTGCGTACGCACATTTTATAAATGAGGCACCAGATGTGGCGCACTGTGACTTCTGGCTTTTCCCAAAACTAAAATCACCTTAGAAAGGGAAGACATTTCAGACCGTAGATGAGATTCAGGAAAATACGACGAGGCAGCTGATGCCGATTCCAACAAAGGATTTTGCAGAGTGTTTTGAGCAGTGGAAGAGATGCTGGGAGAACCGTGTGAGGTCCCAAGGTGTCTACTTTGAAGGGGACTGAGGCATCATTGCATCGTTTTTCATATATGGCTGGATACTTTCGGGACAGACCTTGTATAAATCTTTCATCTCTTTCCAATTTGAAAAAAATGTATTGAAAACCTGGTTGAAAAGCATAGTTCCAACAAATCAGACTTTCTAGATACAGATTCAGGGCATTATTTTATATTCTTCACTAGCCTCTATGTTCTCAACGAGTTATGAATCACTGGGTTATAATTATATAATGCTTTATTCCTTTTCACCGGGTTATGGAGAATTACTGAAAGTGAAGTATACTTACATGAAGAAGGATATGAAGCCAAACAGGCATGTCTTGAATATGTGGAAAACAAAATCCTCCGGAATGAAAAAAAAAGTGAGCTGCTAAATAATATGGCTTAAACTAAGGAAGGCTGTATCCTCCTTCCCTTATGGTTTTACTGAGATGTTTCCTACTTACTGGTGACCGTTTACTTTCTAAAACTATTTTGAATAAAGTGGAGACTAGGAACTCTTTGCTTGCTTGTCGGGAGAGGGGCATTAATTCACATTTTTCCTACTTTACCTTGCAACCTGAGAAGGGCCCAAACACATTATTAGATTTAATAACGGAACAACAGATGAAAAGTAACACATCATCTGCATAGTTACAAGTAGTTAGCTCTAGTGTGGACTTTATATTCCAATTTAAGTACTTACTAACAATTGGTGCAACCCTAGTCCGGACAATCTGGACAAATCAGACAGAAGAGGATTCTCTTTTGCATTGCACTGCAAGTGCTGAAATGACAGTCACATTGCTCAGTAATAATAAAAAAAGACACAATAGCTAAATTCATTTAATAGAAAATGTTAAATTAGAACAAAGAGGGGCTTGATACTGAACAATCATATCAGTGTTTCATATTACCTAATTAAGAACATCACTAATATATAGTATTCACATAAGCAAAGGCCCGTTCATACCAAGAATGATAACGTCTCAGGTTACTTATGTAACCATGGTTCCCTGAGTAGGGAACGAGACACTGCGTCCTCTAGGTTTCCCATAGCGACCCCTAGAGGACGCAGTTCGAAGTTCCCATGAAAGGGAACTATAATGACTATACTGACATCCACACTAGTGGGTTATAACGTTCTGTTTACTATCAGTGCGCACTGCAGAGGGCGATTAAAGTTATTATTAAAACTTTATAGTTACAGTTATAGTCCTTGGTGTGACTGGGCCTTAATTGCAGTTCTAAAATTGTTAAATGTTAAAATGGCCTTAGTTAAACAAATGCCATTGATTACATTTCAGTTCACTGGGAGACAGAACCTGAAAGAAACATCTATTTAAACGTATGGCACACAAGAACAGTGTGGATATATTCCACATCAGATACATCATATCAAATTATATGCAAAGGGGAAATGCCACTGGGTTAAATTTCATTAGTTTAGCTGCGAGTCTGTTAGCGTTAACATTATCCAACATTTGAATAAAAATATACATATACTTTGGTACAACAAACAGGTTTGCTTCCCAATCAAATATACCTTTAGTGTACAATATACATATTTTGATAAAGTTTAAATACTATTTGGACTAATAAAAGTTTAAAGACTTCAAAAATATTTTGTGGTAACTTAAACCTGAATCGCTTTCTGTACATCGGTGCTGCTCTAGTCACATAAGGCAGTGTTACTGTTTTCATTTTAACATGTTCCCTTTAAAACCACACTTTCATACAAAAAAAGTCAGTCATGTATTTTAACCTGCAAATCTGCAATGTCATTAAGACAAAATATGGTACAAGCACCAAACCTCCCGAAGGCTGTTTACCTGCTGAAATGAATAAGTCAAAAACTACTACTTTCAAAATGCTTTGAAAAGTAGTTATGTTAAAGGAACCGTTCACTCAAAAAAAAAGAAAATTCTGTTATGTATTATTTGTTTTAACAGCTGGTCGCTATAACTTATTGCTGTATGAAAAGTATACTCAAAATGTCTCGCTTTAGCATAAGAGCGAGCAAAGGTTGACAGAATTGTCACTTTTTGGGTGAACTATCCCATTAATCTTTCTAGAAATGTTTTGAATCAGTGTAGTGTTTTGAAATGTATATTGCTTTAGGAATGATTCTCCTAAGTGCATTTCTTCTATCTGGGTCCATCATGTAAAGTTAATTGGGGTCACGCTTGGTCAAGTCCACAAATCATCCCCGAAATACAATTACAGGAAAACAAATATATATGCTGGTTGATTAGACGCTGGAATAAGAATAAACAAACAAACAAACAAATACAGATGACATCTAGACTGCCATTAGTCAGAAGACTGTGGTCCATAAATGTCTGTGTGGTCCATGTAAATAAAGATCAATGGAGGTTCCCACTTTTGTGTTCAAGAGTTCATCTCTGTTTTCCATCTGAATTATAAGGCAGAAGAAACCATGCTGCTATACGTAGATCTCTACCCTCCTGTTTTTGGGTCATCAAAAAATAAACCGCTCCATCCATGAGAATCTTTAATCCAGCATAGCATCTAGCTGATCGGCCAGGTCATCAAACATGTTCCCGATGTCATCCAGAATGTTCCCTGCAGACTTGACTACGTGAGAAACACTAAAAGAGACACAACAGGTTTAATTAGGAGTGATAAATTAGTGACAATTTAAAAACATGACATTTAATTGAATTAAATGGAAAACTTCTGAAAATCCCTCAATAAAAAGAAAATCATTTTTGTAGATTTATTCTTTTAAGTGTGAAAGCTGGTGGAGAGTGTCTCTCACCCCACGTTGTTGTTCTCCAGAGTTAGTTTTCTCTCCACAGCCTTCAGTGCTTCCTCCAGGGATGAGCTGGTCTTCTCCAGCCTCTGATGCTTCAGTGTTGACCCTTGAGCCCCGTCCATCAGAGCCTGGAGGCTTCCTGATATCACACCCGTGTTCTCTGGCGAGGGGGAGTATGGGACTGGAGACTGAGGTGCTGCAAAGGCAACACTCTGTACAACACTCAGTGTCACGCTGGAGCCGACAGCTGCAGACAGAACAAGAATCTCCGATAAATGCAAAAGGATGAAAAAAATGGAATAAATCCACTGCTTGTACTCTAACTTAGTAGCAAAATGTTGCTACCAATAGCTTTAATGTAATACATGCAATCTACCAAAGTATAGAATGTATTAATCAGAGCAGTATTTGTCTGAGATGAAAAAATTAAGATCAGTGCCCGGATGCATGAAAGTACTTAAGTAATTTTGACTTGGGGGTATCCCTGAGGGGAAAAAATCCCTGAGGCAAGGGATTTCTTTAAGAACGTTGCAACAAACGTCTTAACTGTCACCCTTACCTAAGTGTATATACTAAGTGTTGCATGGTAGTTTCTGGCAACATACAGCAGTGGGCGCTGCGGTTGCTATAGTTAGGCTACTACATCTCACAATAAACAGCACACAACGAAACAACAGTTGTACTAATACTTGCGTTATGGAGAATACCAAGAGCACAGAAAACAAAAAAACTAACCAAACTGGACTGCAGTGAGACGAAGGATTTACTGACGGTAAAACCGATACTCTCAATAACTGCGTATCAAAATAGGCACGATTTTAATGATTATTAAAATCGCGCCTATTTCAATCATTAAAAATGTGCCATGGTACTTCCTCCTCTTCAATTAACATAAAATCAGCCATCTGTTTGAGATGGCTGATCAGCCGTTTGAGTTTAAGATGAATTAAGGGGGTGTTTTGGTCCCTTAAATTTATTAAGGTGAAATGGTTACTAAGGACTTTGTAGTAATGCTTAAGGGAACACTTAAATAATTAAGGGAATACTTAATGACAGCCTTAAGGTTCCTTAAGTTGACCCTTAGTTGTTTTTCTTGCAACCCAAGTTTCACTAAAGGTTCCTTTAACCTTATAACTAAGGGATTTAGCTTAAGGGCTTTCATGCAACTTGGCACTGAAATACATTGCATCAAACCTGAATACAAAGCTAACTAACTTTATTAATAGGCTGTTTATTTGTAGGCTGTACCTGTTACAGGAGCAGGATCTGGTTTAGAGGCGTGCCGTGTTGAATTCAGGGGACTGGGAGGTTTGGGAGCAAGAGGTGGAGGTGCTTTCACTGGTTTGGCTGGAAGCTCCACACATGGCAGACTCATATCTGTTTCACTGATGCGGAGTTTCACCGTGTCCTGAGTCTCTAAAACTGATGTGCCATCTGGGCTGCTGTCAGACACTGTGTTTGACTGCTCTTTCTCTTTTGGCTTCTGCCGTCTCTTTACTGTGTCTGACTCTTTAAGGTTAAACTCTGGAACTTCAGGGGTTTTGGCCGGTTTGGCCTTCTCTGGTGACTCAGAAGTGGTCTCTGCCTTGAGAGGCCCGCCAACTTTGGGCCTCTGTTTGATAGTGAGGTTGAAAGTACTTAAGTAATTTTGACTTGGGGGTATCCGAGGGGAAAAAATCCCTGAGGCAAGGGATTTCTTTAAGAGCGTTGCAACAAACGTCTTAACTGTCACCCTTACCTAAGTGTATATACTAAGTGTTGCATGGTAGTTTCTGGCAACATACAGCAGTGGGCGCTGCGGTTGCTATAGTTAGGCTACTACATCTCACAATAAACAGCACACAACGAAACAACAGTTGTACTAATATTTGCGTTATGGAGAATACCAAGAGCACAGAAAACAAAAAAACGAACCAAACTGGACTGCAGTGAGACGAAGGATTTACTGACGGTAAAACCGATACTCTCAATAACTGCGTATCAAAATAGGCACGATTTTAATGATTATTAAAATCGCGCCTATTTCAATCATTAAAAATGTGCCATGGTACTTCCTCCTCTTCAATTAACATAAAATCAGCCATCTGTTTGAGATGGCTGATCAGCCGTTTGAGTTTAAGATGAATTAAGGGGGTGTTTTGGTCCCTTAAATTTATTAAGGTGAAATGGTTACTAAGGACTTTGTAGTAATGCTTAAGGGAACACTTAAATAATTAAGGGAATACTTAATGACAGCCTTAAGGTTCCTTAAGTTGACCCTTAGTTGTTTTTCTTGCAACCCAAGTTTCACTAAAGGTTCCTTTAACCTTATAACTAAGGGATTTAGCTTAAGGGCTTTCATGCAACTTGGCACTGAAATACATTGCATCAAACCTGAATACAAAGCTAACTAACTTTATTAATAGGCTGTTTATTTGTAGGCTGTACCTGTTACAGGAGCAGGATCTGGTTTAGAGGCGTGCCGTGTTGAATTCAGGGGACTGGGAGGTTTGGGAGCAAGAGGTGGAGGTGCTTTCACTGGTTTGGCTGGAAGCTCCACACATGGCAGACTCATATCTGTTTCACTGATGCGGAGTTTCACCGTGTCCTGAGTCTCTAAAACTGATGTGCCATCTGGGCTGCTGTCAGACACTGTGTTTGACTGCTCTTTCTCTTTTGGCTTCTGCCGTCTCTTTACTGTGTCTGACTCTTTAAGGTTAAACTCTGGAACTTCAGGGGTTTTGGCCGGTTTGGCCTTCTCTGGTGACTCAGAAGTGGTCTCTGCCTTGAGAGGCCCGCCAACTTTGGGCCTCTGTTTGATAGTGAGGTTGCCTTCCTCCGCAAAGGGGATGCACTCACTGGAGCTGTTCTGAGGTGAGGATGAGCTCTCCAGGCCTGAATCCTTCGTCCCATCCTCCTCTTCCGACTCGGACTTTACCGCTCTATCGGTATCTGCTTTGGCGAACACTGGGGTGGATTCGGTCTGACTCAGAGGTCTACTACGCCTGGACCCTTCGTTGGTACTGGAAACAGCTGTAGGGGTTTCCTGAAGGAGCTCCACCATAGGCGCAGGTAGGACTGTTTCTAATGCAGCTGCGATGCTCTTCACGGTCCCAGGTCTGCCATTCTCAACTCCTCCAGAAGGTGATGCTGGAGTGTCAGAGACAGTTTCAACACTAGTGCTGCTGCTGCTGACGGAGCTAAGGCGTTTAGGTGGTGGAGGAGGAGGCCCTTTACGCCGAGCCCTGATGGCGAAAGAGTGGCTTCGGCTGGCGGACTGCTCGGGGGCGGACTGAAGACGTGCCAGCTGGCCACGGGTAGGCTTGCGGCTCAGTGTGGCATACGAAGGCATGGCCATACTGGCCAGCTGAGCTGCTTCATCATCATCATCTTCATCTGGTTCACCGTCCGACAAAGCATACCGCACCATGTCCTAGCAAGCATGATACAACAAGGTGAGAATGTTGCATGTCCCTGCACAATCTCATGGTATATTTGATGCTGAATATACAGTAATTTGGAAAAGGACTTTAGACCAATCAGATTTATCTGTGGGAAAGACTACCCAAAATCATACCAGAAGACTAAAAATGAAAATGCCCTTGTCAAGGTCATGGCAAGTAAGAACAAAAACTGGAAGAGCTGCCCAGGGGAAATGTGACTGGCCTTCAATGTTGAAATGTGGTTTAAATAATAACATTTCTCATTTCAACATTGAAAAAAACATTGCTACAATGTTTAATGCCAAATGGTTGTGAAAAGGGTAACAAAATACTTATAAAAGATTGATGAACTTTAAACAAAGATCTGTACAAAGATATAATAAGTTGATATCAATTTCAAAGTTGATTTGATTTGTGAAATCAAAGCAAAATTCAATTTAACTAAATTACAGAATTCAGGTTTACTAAACCCACAAGTCTATTTGCCTTGAGCAAATGGGCATAACAACAGCTAAATCACCCTGGCTTCATTTTGCATATGGATGGAGGGTGAAGTGTATACAGGGTTTCCACACTTTTTGACCCATGTATCTCATTAATTATTTGTGGCTTTGTCAATCGTTAATGACCAAAGGATGAAGGTTTTTAAACAATCATTCAAATTCTGTTCTAATAATGATTCATCCGAACCAGTGTGAACCTACTTATTTAAAATAATAAATTCAAAAGAATGATTTTCTTACATATCATGCTTGCTTTAGTTTGAAAGCAGGTTTAGTTGTACACAAGAGCAATATTTAGCCAACAAAAATTTTCAAGTCCCTCTGGTTCTACCCGCCCTCCTCCGAGCGGGATTCAAGATTTCCGGCATGGGAGGCAGGCATGTTAACAAGACTACAGCCTTTAGCGTCAGTCTCTAGTGCACCTCTTGAGATCAGGGGAGTGAGTTCTACCTTCATAGCCCTTACAAGCCGGCCTCCATTACACTCACCACTTAAACTTCACTCCCATCCGGGTCACGGCACCAATTTAACCCCTCCAGCTCTACTGCTCCATGTGGGATTTGAGCCGGCGTTTCTGACATGGGAAGCAGGTGCGCTAACAAGGATGCTAAAGACCACAGCCACTAGCGTCATTAGCTAGTGCGCCTGGTTTTCCATAGCTCTTACTATCTGGCCTCCGTTACAATAACAAGAACACACAATTTTTAAATTTCCAATTATTCCTAGCTTTTCTTTGGTTTTGTTAACCCTATAACTACAACCACCACAGTGTACTTTAATTCAGTGTTTCTTTTAAACTCACCTAGTTTGGTGATGCCAATCTCCTGCAAGTCTTCCCATGTGAGATCTCGGACAATGTTTATCGAGTCATAGCCATTCTCTGAGAGTTTCTTATTATACTGTGGCAGACCTATGGCGCTCAGCCACTCCCCAAGATCCTGCTAAGAGATAAGCTTTTAATTGTGAGTGAACTGAAGACAACACCATAGACACACGTATATGCATACTATAGCGTGTAGTGACTTACCGGTATGTACTCTGGGAGCCATTCTGGAATGCTGAGGTTGCCGATCTCAAGAGAAATCTTCTTACGGTGTCCTGGTTTAGTCACACCAATAGCCGTGAGATCCTGAAAAATGGTATAATACTTAATCAAAATCTCTATCTGCAGCAACAAGAATGAGTGGCACTTCTTAAAGCAACCAAACACTGGCGCTCTGATCGTACCTCTGGGGTCATTCTGCTGATGGTAGGTACATCATAGCCAGCGTTGAGGAAATTAGCAGTGTACTGCTCCAACTGAAACTCACTAAGCCACTGATAGATGGCCTCAGCATCCTGACAATGATAAAAGACATGAAGATATACGACATGACAGGTAGCAAACAGAATGCAGGATACAACTGCTGTTGTATAACACTTTTTATAAAATGTGGCTTCTCTATTTGTATTATGTTTTTTTTTGTTGTATATAATTATATGATATATTTTATATAATCTCATTTTTGGGCTTAATTAAGAGTTGTATGTTCTTATACTCACATTTATTATTAGTGTACTTGTATACTAATGGTATAATGGTGTGGTATAATTATATAATCAACATTTTGATGTCAGTATTTTCATAAAGTTTTAATACAACTTACAACAACAATACAAAATTAATTTGCCATATCAAAATATGATCACGTCTATCTAAGCCTTAACTGTAATAGTGTTTTCTGACCTTGCCCTCCAGCAGCTGTTGAGGATGCACAAACTGTTGAGAGAAACCCTGCTCTCCTGGCCTCTGTGTGGGCAGCACAGGTTTGCGAGGAACTCCTTCAAAACAACACCACACATACTCATGTTAATACATGAGAGCATTTTCAATGTCTTTGAATTAGCTAGTGTTTTGCCAGTTTTAAGTTGATGTATGAAGTCCGTTATAACTCAAGTTCACACAGGTGTCCTATCAGAGGAACTTGGTTTGATATTTTGTTATCCATTGCAGTAACTTTCATACATTTTATGTGTCCAAATACTGTCACCGTAAGCTGTAACCGTAAACAGATACAAACAGTAAATATGGCACAGGTAACTCTTTACCTGTGGATGTGTCTGGAAGTTTGTTATGATCTGGCTGTAGTAAATCCACAACAGAGGGCGTTGCCTGTTTAAAATGAAATGAAAGTCAGAAGAAACCTTAGCTATAAAACTTTAGTTCACATAGGAACGACAAATGTTTGCCTGAAGCTAAAAAAGTTTAACTAAAATAACAGGAAACAGGTCCATTATGGTCTGGTGAAGAGTTGTGGACTTCGAAACATTGCAAAGTTGGAATTTAAGGAACTGTTTTTTTTTTATTGTTTTTTGGAGCTGTGATTTGCCGAATTTTCTTCTACATGTCAGGTATGAATCCTTGGATTTAATTGAAACATTATAGCTAGTAGTATAAAAATGTCTTAAATGAGACAAAACACAAATTCTTTATACATGGAACAAAACATTTTACCTGCTAAAATAGCAACATTAGCACTTCAAGATGATCACCAGAATGTTCTAAACCAAAATGTACCATTTCAATCTAATTTCTCTTTATTCAAATTAAGACATTTCGTTATCGTTCACTACCTCTAAAAGCACCCGTCATAAGACCATGACTTAATACTTCATAAAGGTTCAAATTTTTAATAACATCATCATTAGAAAAATGTTTATCTACTACAGAAACAGACATGGAAATCACATTTTCCCTGGTATTTCTAAATGGGAACTCTTTAAGTTGTATTTCTTACAAAGCATCATGCCTGTGAATGAACACAATGAATGGTTACCTTGCTGGTGTCAGGGCTGGTGGTGTGTTGCTGTGGTCCATTGGGGGCGCTGTTGCTTTCTGTGCTCTGGCCACTGCCTGCACTGCGGGTGCTGCCCACACTGCCAGTGCTGCCCACACTGTTCCTGTCCCCAGCTGCGAGAGAGATAGAGGTGTTAGTCCAGTGAGTCAATGCAATCATAACATGACCGCGATTATGCCATCACTGCAGCCGTCTGCACTGCCATGCCAGTGTGCCACCCCACAGCTGTGAGGACACTGTACCCACTGTGCCAAGGGGCTGGATTTAAACTCAAGCAGCAGGCAGGATGGGGTAGGGGTAGCAGGGCAAAGCCACAGGCATGTGGTGATGGGGTTTACAGATGACAGCACACAACCTACAGTACGTTCTGCTACGGTAGCGAGAGGGTTCGCAGTACGCTAACATCTGGAGACGGACACACCAACTGGGTCTGTGTGGTGTCCCGACAGGCCAGCCAATCAGAGGGTCTGTCTGCAGCAGGGAGAGGGTGACAGCCAGTAGGGGGCGCAGGGGAGTGCAGCGGTTCTTACCAGCGCAGGAGTTCCGCAAAACCCACACGTCCTCCATGCTGGGGGTCATGTGCTGGGACAGACTGCTGGGAGGCCCACCTAGCGGACACAAACACTTTTTGGGCCATTGGCCTCAGTCTTGTGGGCGGATAATGTAAGGGTGTGTGCATCACAAATCAGGGGATTCAGATGAGTGTGCACCACTGCATGGTGTTTATATGCAAAGACAGTGTTTCGCACAGAAGAACCATGAGCCCACCCAGGGTCCATAATCAACCGTTTGCCCCAACTGCCAATGACTAATAATATAATTCTAAATCTTTTGGTTTACACAGGGTTCCCACGCTTCTTGAAAGTACTTGAATATCAGACGCATGGATTCGAGGCCTGGAAAGTACTTGAAGTCATGATTTATTTGTATTGGTGTGTGATGTTAAAGCGTGTGTTTGTGCAGGTATAAGTTAGTGGAGCTGGCGTTCTACCTGACCATGGGCTTCTTTCCTGCGCTGGTGGTGACATCAATGGTGAGTCTATGAGCTCAACTTAATCTGATCTATGTGCTTCTAAAGGCCAAGTACTAATTAGCAGACCCCTAATTAACCTGACCATTTAAAGCTGGTGTAGGAGGAGTCATTGCAGAGGACGGAGAACGGATTGTAGTCAGGGTTCCCACGCTTCTTGAAAGTACTTGAATTTCAGACATATGGATTCAAGGCCTGGAAAGTACTTGAAAACAAATATAAGTCCTTGAAAGTGCTTGAATTAAATTTTAAATAAATTTTGTTTATTAGAATGGTGCTATTTCAAAAATTGTCCTATATGCGCTGTCAAAGACAAAACTGCGCTAATGATTGGGGGTTGAGATAGGGTAGCAGGAGAAAAAAACTTAGCGTGAGCTGATGTGCAGTCCTGCATGAACCTATGGAAAAGCAGTGCATTTGCGAATGAAAATTACTGCGTGCAACTTTGAAAAAAAATATTTAGGAGCACCAGTGCGACTGACCCGATCAGCATATTTGTGTTTGCGCTCAGGGGAGCTTCAAAGGTTTCTAACTTATTTACAACGTGTTTTTGCTGCATTGAGTAATGTATCACAGACAAATCTGTTGATTCCTTGATCACAATGTTAATCATTATAATGGAGAGATCGCGATGAGTGAGTGACAGCTTTTAATGATTATTAAGGGAGTTTGCAAATGTGATATGTGATAATTATGATACTGATTTAATACAACAGTTCATTAAAAAAGAAATTAATAAGTGACTTGCATTGTCTGACTACAACACTATAGCCGGCTTT